CAAAAGTCTCTTCTGTTCTCCCACAATTCCCCCCCCCCCCTAATTTCATGCCCATTCTTTACTCTTGACGTCTTCTATTACCTGGCTGAACCATCTTGATCTGGGTCATCTGTATTTAATCAAGTTGCTGTCAACTAGAGCGGTTAATTTATTTGTTTGCTAGATGCGCTGAAACCAAGAAATGTGTCTGAACAGCTGTTTGTTCACTGTTGTTACAGTTACCTTGAAACTCTTGTCATACATTGATGTAATGCTTGATAGCCAGTGCATTATCACTGCCACCATCACCTTCCACATGTTTCGTATGTACTGTCTTTCGATCTAATTTGACACCTCTATAGCTAAATAGTGATTATGAAATAAGTAAAGGACCACTAGTCAAAGTGTGCCCCAGATATATTGCTAATCCAAGAGAGAACAAGGTGTTCACTTGGAGCACAGAACTTATATACTTTATTACCATGAATGGCTAATGGAAACACTTCGCACTTACAGGGCAAAGTTGAAATAATTTCATTGTAGTTGTGAGACTTTGAATAAATTAGGATTTGCTTAGTGAGAAATTTTCAGTATGTCACTGCCTGTATAGATATATCCTCCAGCTTTATATGAATTTTGCATTAGTGTGAGTTTCTGTCTATTTTTTAATTTGATTATTTTAGTGGACACTAAAAAATGAAAATGTTTATTAAAACAAAAGATTAGGATTTGTAAGTGGTTAGAATGACTGGTAATGAAGTTGAATGAATTACATATTTTGCAATCAAAACAAAGGCAGTAAAACCAAAGGAATAACAAAAATTTGTAGTTACACTTTTACCGTTGGGACCATGATTGTCATGTAAATTGGGTGATACCTCTGTTTCATCATTATCATCATCATCGCCATCCATAATCATCATTTATTCCGTGAGGTATGATGAAGCTGTATATTCTGTTATCTGTGATTTCAGTGAAATTACTGGAGGCATATCAAAGAAATGTTCAGCAATTGTTTTCTGGATGCTTTGCTGTTTTATTGGCAGTATGATAAGTATTAATGGCATGGGTCCAACGTAGAATAACTGGTGAAGTATGACAGATGTTTAAGTGAACCCCATTCCCATTTTTGCCATGTTTGGCACCTTTAAAAAAGCATTAAAGGGCCATAGATTCCAATCAGACAGAGATATAAAGCTGCAATGGTTCAGTGGTTCCAGCAGCAGCCAAGGGAGTTTTTTGCATAAGGAATTCATAAGCTGGTGCCTCAATGGACTGTTGTTTGAACACCCATAAGGACTATTTTAATGGCATCTCCTCCTCTCTCCAGAACAATCCACAAATAGGTTTTGTTTGAACAGTCTTCATNCGGGGAACGGCACTGCAGTCGCGGGGAGGAGTTGCATCCGTTCTGCGGTGGTATGACTCACAGCAAATTGCAGCCGCGGCGCGCACTTGATTGTACGCACTGTATATTTGGAATTGGTCAGTTGGCTTATGAACAGTTATGTTGATATACATTTGGGCTGGAATACTATAGTCCAGAAAGTGATTGACAGAGCAATTTTGTACAAAACAGCAAATGACTTCTAAGCTATAGGTGCTGCACTAACTAATAACGAATTTCAGAGCCATCTACGATGGAGAAGAATATCCAATGGTTATGTCTATGTATCTGTCTGTCATGGCAAGAATACTGCTTTGTTCGAGGGATGCTTTTAGTCAGGTAATCCATTTTCATTTCATATACACAGTGGTTCAGTGGTCAGAAAGTATAGAATTATTGCATTCAGATCATAGTTTTCTAGAATATTGTCATGTGTTAGAGACTGGACATGGGGTTTGGATTTATGGAACACTTGTAACTTGTAACTACAAGTAACTGAAACAGTCTTACAGAGTTGCACTATAGATCACTACAGCTAGAGCACACAGAATCTTCTGTTTGTTCACTAGTCGTTGCCAGGTAGAAGATGCCAACAGTAAGACTGCTAACTGCCCACTCTGACTTCTGACTCACTGTCGAATCCCTAGCTTGTACATATGGTCCTTGTACCACATAGAAAACATCACATCCATTGATTCCTCAGTTTTTGCATGTTTATTCAATGCCACAGAAACGTGTTTACTGCACCCTCGCATAGCAATGGCCACCTTTATTTGTTAAACTATTCTGGCTTTCAGCCATCATATTACAATATGGGATGAACAAGTACCAATGCTTCATAGGAAGCTGGTACCTCTGTTTTGTATGTAGAGAAGTGATTTCTGTCCTGAATATGAGTCAGTAGGTTCCTCTGAGCTGTTGGTACTTATCTACCGAAGTACATGGTGTCTCATCCCAGAACAAGATAATCTTGTTACTCACCATTGTGAAACGGGATAGCACAGTCGGTATAGTGACTGGCTATGGGCTCGAAAACCGAGGAGTTGGAGCTCGAGTCCCAGCAGGGTCAAGAATTTTCTCTTCTCCACATCACTCAGACCGGCTCTGGCGTCCACCCAACCTCCTATCCAATGGGTACCAGGGGTTCTTTCCCCAGGGGCATGATGGCAGGGGCGTGACTCTGACCATTCACCTCCAGCTAGAGCCGAGGTCAAGAAAATGTGGATTTATACATCCACTCCCACATACGTCTTCATGGTGTAGTGCTTAATTAATTAAGCACAGGGACAACTTTACCTCACTTTACACCGTTCTGAGAACCTTGAATGTCTCAAGTCTGCTGGTTGTTAATGTAGAGCTAAATAAAATGTGCAGTATTTTAAGTGAGATTTCTCTGTACATGTAGTGTAATGATATTGATAGTTGTTTAGTTATTTCTTATAGCGCAGAAGATTTCAATTTGTTACTTACATATGAGATTGGCAGGGATTACTACAGAACAACTTCTTTATCATAAACATTTAACATGAATCCAGTGTACAGTTTCACCTTCTGGAATTTGTTTCTTGTCTACTTATTTTTCAGGTGTTGAATGTCTAAATAATACATGTTTTGTGTTCTTCAGGTGGTCGCAGAAGTGGCACAGAGGATAAGGGAAACACAGGAAGTTGTTCTTAAGAAGATGTTGGACGTATGGTTAGACAAAATGGCACTGGTGACACAGTTTGAGCGTCGAAAGCTACTGGGTCTTGCACTTTCATCATTGCTTACTGCACAGTCAAGGTATAACTCTCCTTGGAGTACAAATACATAACCTTTTAGCAAACAGCATATTGATTATGTTATTAATAAAATTTCCATTGCATGTTATGCATTGAGAAATATGAAATATATTGTCCCTTTAGATGGATTAAAGCTAATTTATTTTGCTCATATACGTTCTATCATAAGTTATGGTATAATTTTTTGGGGTGGCTCTTCTTGTGTTAACAAAGTTTTTATATTGCAAAAGAAAGTTATTAGAATTATGACGAATTCTAGACCAAGATAGTCTTGTAGGGACATTTTTAGTAATTTGGAAATGATGACGTTCTACTCTCAGTACATATATCTATTACTTTTATACATAATAATAAACGTCTGTTTAATTTTAACAATGAGATTCACAAATGCAAAACTAGAGCCCTCAATAATTTATATTTACCTGCAGTTAACCTAACAAAATACAATAAAGGTGCGTACATATCAGGTATTAAAGTTTTTAATCATCTTCCTCAAACAATAAAAATGTTGGCTACTGATGTGAGCAGTTTTAAATCTGCATTGAAGAGGTGTCTATATCATCATCCTTTTTATTCCATGAATGAATATTATCAACATAATTGGCCATAAGTGTGTAAATTTGTAATGTATGTAATTCAGTTAATATAGGTAATTTAAATGAAATTATATTAATTCAAGTTTTATAGTAATTATTTTTAAATTATCTTATTAAATTTTTTACTTCATATTATTATTCATGTTAAACAATTAATGTAAATGGTTTTGATTATGTTCCTCATGTAATTTTGTATATGTATCTTGATAT